TCATTCAAGACACTGTACACTGTGTATGTTAGGCCCATACTGGAGTATGCAGCACCAGTCTGGAACCCACACCTGGTCAAGCACGTCAAGAAGTTAAGAGAAAGTACAAAGGTTTGCAACAAGGATAGTCCCAGAGCTCAGGGGAATGTCGTACGAGTAAAGGTTGAGGGAAATCGGACTGACGACACTGGAGGACAGAAGGGTCAGGGGAGACATGATAACGACATACAAGATACTGCGGGGAATAGATAAGGTGGACAGACAGGATGTTCCAGAGAGGGGGCACAGAAACAAGATGTCACAACTGGAAGCTGAAGACTCAGACGAGTCACAGGGACGTTAGGAAGTATTTCTTTAGTCATAGAGTAGTGAGGAAGTGGAATAGCCTAGCAAGTGTAGTGGAGGCAGGAACCATACATAGTTTTAAGAAGAGGTATGACAAAGCTCAGGAAGCAGAGGGGAGAGGACCTAGTAGCGATCATTGAAGAGGCGGGGCCAGGAGCTGAGTCTCGACCCCTGCAACCACAATTAGGTGAGTACATACATACACTACGTGTGCCACTAACCAAAATCTTCAACACTTCCCTTGAAACGGGGCAACTACCTGAAGTATGGATGAAGGCAAATGTAGTCCCCATCTTGAAGAAAGGAGACAGAAACGAAGCACTAAATTATAGACCAGTGTCACTGACGTGTATAGTATGCAAAGTCATGGGGAAGATTATCAGGAGAGTGGTGGAGCACCTGGAGCGGAACAAGATTATAAACAATTTCCTGCACGGATTCGTGGAAGGCAAATCCTGTGTCAAAAGCCTACTAGAGCTTTATGACAAGAAATGAGAGGGAGGGGTGGGTTGATTGCATTTTCTTTGACTGCAAGAAGGCCTTCGACACAGTTCCTCACAAGAAATTAGTACAGAGGCTGGAGGAACAGGCACATATAACATGAAGGGCACTGCAATGGATCAGAGAACACCTAACAGGGAGGCAAAAGCGAGTCATGATCCATGATGAGGTATCACAGTGAGCGCCTCTGACGAGCGGGGTCCCACTGGGGTCAGTCCTGGGACCAGTGCTATTCTTGGTATATGTGAATATGACGGAAGGGATAGACTTAGAGGTGTCCCTATTTGCAGATGATGTGAAGTTGAGGAGAATTAAATCAGATGCAGACCAGACAGGTCTAAAAAAGACCTGGACAGGCTGGATGCGTGGTCCAGCAACTGCAGACTGCAGACAAAGTATACGCTAGGAGGCCAAAGACTGCAAACCTCACTGAAGGAGAAAGATCTAGGAGTAAGTATAATACAGAGTATATCGCCAGAAGCACACATTAACCAGATAACTGCTGCGGCTTATGGGCTCCTGGAAAACCCGAGAATAGTGTTCCGGTACCTTAGTAAGGAATAGTTCAAGACTTGATACGTGTACAAGGGCCCATACTGGAGTACAAAACACCAGTTTGGAACTCACACCTGGTCACACACATCAAGAAATTAGAGAAAGTGCAAAGGTTTGCAACAAGGCTGGTTCCAGTGCTAAGGGGAATGTCCTATAAAAAAAGGTTAAGGGAAATCGGTCTGACCACACTGGAGGACAGGAGGATCAGGGGAGACATGATAACATACAAAATACTGTGTGGAATAGACAAGGTGGACAGAGACAAGATGTTCCAGAGATGGGACACAGAAACAAGGAGTCACAATTGGAAGCTGAAGACTCAGATGAGTCAAAGGGATGTTAGGAAGTATTTCTTCAACCACAGAGTTGTTAGCAAGTGGAACAGTCTGGCGAGCGATGTAATGGGGTCAGGAACCATGCATAGCTTTAAGACGAGGTATGATAAAGCTCATGGAGCAGGGAGAGAGAGGACCGAGTAGTGTTCAGTGAAGAGGTGGGGCAAAGAGCTGAGTCTCGACCCCTGCAACTACAATTAGGTGAGTTCACACACACTCACACCAGGCACCCCTCAAGGAAGGTTCCTTGATGTTGGTGAGGGGCTCTTGATTTAGGGAATTGGATCTGTGCTCCAGTTCCCTGAATTAAGCCTGAATGCCTTCCACATCCCCCCCAGGCGCTGTATAATCCTCCGGGTTTAGCGCTTCCCCCTTGATTATAATAATAATAATCACACCAGGCAGAACTACAAAGGGATCTGGATAGACTGCAGGCCTGGTCCAGAAACTGGCTCCTGGAGTTCAACCCCACCTAGTGCAAAGTCATGAAGATTGGGGAAGGGCAAAGAAGACCACAGACGGAGTACAGTCTAGGGGGTCAGAACCTACAAACCTCACTCAAGGCAAAGGATCTTGGTATGAGTATAACACCAGGGACATCTCCTTAGGTGCCCATCAACCAAATAACTGCTGCAGCATATGGGTGCCTAGCAAACCTAAGAACAGCATTCTGACATCTAAACAAGGAGCCATTTAAGACCCTGTACACTGTGTACGTTAAGCCCATATTGGAATATGCAGCGCCAAGCATGTAAGGAAACTAGAGAAAGTGCAGAGGTTTGCAACAAGACTAGTCCCTGAGCTAAGAGGTATGTTCTACGAGGAGAGGTTAAGGTAACTCGACCTGACGACGCTGGAAGACAGGAGAGTAAGGGGGGATATGATTACGACATAGAAAATAATGAGAAGTATAGACAAGGTGGACAGAGACAGGAAGTTCCAGGGATGGGACACAGCAACAAGGGGTCACAGTTGGAAGTTGAAGACTCAGATGAACCACAGGGATATTAGGAAGTATTTCTTCAGTCACAGAGTTGTCATGAAGTGGAATAGCCTGAGTAGTGATGTAGTGGAGGCAGGATCCATACATAGCTTTAAGAAGAGGTATGATAAAGGTCACGGAGCGGGAAGAGTGACCGGGTAGCGGCCAGTTGAAGAGGCGGGGCCAGGAGCTATGACACGACCCCTGCAACGACAACTAGGCGAGTACAACTAGGTGAGTACAACTAGGTGAGTACACTCACACACTCACATGTTGAGTAGATTCAGTGTCATAATGGAACCCAACAATAACAAATAAAACAAATTAAAGACATGCTAAATCAGGTACTAATTTTACATTAGTGGATATTTAATACAGTAATTTAATAGAGAAAACAAAGGCACAATACCATGACTGGAACAATACACAAAGGCACAATACCATGACTGGAACAATACACAAAGGCACAATACCATGACTGGAACAGTACACAAAGGCACAATACCATGACTGGAACAATACACAAAGGCACAATACCATGACTGGAACAATACACAAAGGCACAATACCATGACTGGAACAATACACAAAGGCACAATACCATGACTGGAACAATACACAAAGGCACAATACCATGACTGGAACAATACACAAAGGCACAATACCATGACTGGAACAATACACAAAGGCACAATACCATGACTGGAACAATACACAAAGGCACAATACCATGACTGGAACAATACACAAAGGCACAATACCATGACTGGAACAGTACACAAAGGCACAATACCATGACTGGAACAATACACAAAGCACAATACCATGACTGGAACAGTACACAAAGGCACAATACCATGACTGGAACAATACACAAAGGCACAATACCATGACTGGAACAATACACAAAGGCACAATACCATGACTGGAACAATACATAAAGGCACAATGCCATGACTGGAACAATACACACACATAAAAATGACAAGATGGATAATGAAAACTTCAATACTAGGAATGCCAAGCCGTGATGACACTCTTCAGGTTGCTGGTTATATCTAGGCTGGAATATTGCTGCACACTAACACTTTTCAAGGAAGATGAAATTGCCGACTCAGAAAATGTACAGAGAACCTTCATGGCACACATAACTGCTATAAAACACCTCAGTTACTGGGAACGCTTAAAGTTCCTCAATCTAGAACGCAGGCGGGAGAGATACATGATTATATACATTTGGAAAATTCTTGAGGGATTAGTACCAAACTTGCGCACGAAAATCACTCGCTATGAAGCAAAAGACTCGGCAGACGATGCAACATCCCTCCCAATGAAAAGCTGGGGTGCCACTAGCACAATAAGAGACAACACAATAAGTGTCAGGGTCCTAAGACTGTTCAACAGCCTCCCAGCATACATAAGGGGGATTACCAATAGACCCCTTACTGTCTTCAAGCGAGAACCGGACAAGCACTTAAAGTTAGTACCTGACCAGCCGGACTGTGGTTCGTCCGTCGGTTTGCGTGTGTCAAACAGTAACAGCCTGGTTGATCAGGCCCTGATCCACCATGAGGCCTGGTCATAGACCGGGCCACAGGGGCGTTGACCCCCGGAGCCCTCTCCAGGTATACTTCAGGTATACAGGAGAAACAAAATTCATGGCGACATACTGGCCCCCTCTCGTATACTATATACTGACTCCCTTACTTTCTTGTATTAGTGTGACTTGTTAATGGTCCAATTTGGATCGAAATGTCGTCATAAAGTTTATTTCTCCTACGTGTGAGTTATTTATGAATGATTTAATAACTAGACACAATGATCAGTTAATGTACCTATACTCAGCACATAATATTTCAACAGTAGTGCTCATATAAGGAGGTTCAATACCAACAGTCAATTAGTTAAAGTAACAATATTTAGCACAATATTTCAACAGTAGTGCTCATACAAGGAGGTCAGTACCAACAGTCAATTAGTTAAAATAACTATATTTAGCACAATATTTCAACAGTAGTGCTCATATAAGGAGGTCAGTACCAACAGTCAGTTAAAATAACTATATTTAGCACAATATTTCAACAGTAGCGCTCATATGAGGAGGTCAATACCAACAGTCAATTAGTTAAAATAACTATATCTAGCACAATATTTCAACAGTAGCGCTCATATAAGGAGGTCAGTACCAACAGTCAATTAGATAAGTAACTACACTCAGCACAAAATACTGCAACAGTAGTGCTAATAAAAGGTCAATACCAACAGTCATTTCAACAGCATACCTGTTCCAAATGGGAGGAATCCTTCTTTTTGGGGCACAAACTTTCCACTGTCATCCATGAAGCGATTCGGGTTAAATTTGTGAGGGTTTTGCCAGTAGTTTGGATCCTCGTGGCTTATCACAGAACATCCTTGAAGGATCATACCCTGTGACGAAGTGAAAAACATTTATTTTTATGTAACAATTCGGCGTGTTAAAAATTATATAATGTTCTTCTGTGTATTTGATTGAAGTAGCCATAATGGCTGATTAAAAAATTCCATAACAAAGAATCCTAAATGTTGCACATGTCTCATTCTTCACCTTACATTACATACTGTATATTACAAGAGGGCCTCGCTTTACAGCACTTTGCCTAACAGTGTTTTGCTAATACAGCGGTATTTAATTATGCCCATTCTTCATTTATTCAGGATACTTACAATAAATATATTCACCATTCACTATAAGCTAAGGACATAGGTATTCTTGGCTAAGTAATGGATGTACTGTATATGCATTTTTTAGGCCTACCTCTGTTACTCAGTGGTAGTGTAAACCTGTTATCAGGCTTTTATATGCTTTTGAAAAAATAATGTTTCACTTTACGTAGATTTTTGCTTTACAACAACCTACCCTGCTGTATAAGCGGGGCCTGCCATATATTAAAAAAAAACTTACTACTTTATTAAAAATATAACGTATTGGCCAATTCCCTCATCCTCCGAGGTCGCAACGGACAAGTCAAGAAGTAGCAGTCAACACATAGCAAGCGGCACACCTGACCCCCAGCGCTCGGGCTGCGGCCCAAAGCAGGGGTGTGGCTCCAAAAGGGTACTGCAGTGCTTGCTTCCTTTGCACCTTCTGACATCATCTACTGCTACGTAGCTGCCACATTCTTTAAGCCTAGTGGGGCGGAATTTTTGGCAGTCCAAAGTGCCTAGCTTCTTAAGAGCCCCATGATGGCGGGGAATGGGGCTAGGCCTGGGGACAATTGGTCCCACAAGATGAAGAGGTACTTGTACCTCTTCGAATGGATGACGTTAGTCAAGACACTCACGAAATATGGAGCCAAGGCCGGTTCACCACCTGGTCAAGACCCGGTCTGGGATATTGCCGGCAAACCTCAACCAAGCCAGCAAGACCTCATCCTTCCAGAGCAAGCCAACTCAAAGAAAGAACATGTATATATAATGCTAATAATATATAGATAATCACTGATTATCAAATTGCAGGTTGTTCAGCACCTAACATTGTCTGGCAGCAATGACTCTACACTTAACATTATCTGACAGCACTGACTCTACACTTAACATAATCTAGCAGCACTGACTCTACACTTAACATTATCTGGCAGCAATGACTCTACACTTAACATTATTCGGCAGTACTGACTCTACACTTAACATTATCTGGCATCAATGACTCTACACTTAATATTATCTGACAGCACTGACTCTACACTTAACATAATCTAGCAGCACTGACTCTACACTTAACATTATCTGGCAGCAATGACTCTACACTTAACATTATTCGGCAGTACTGACTCTACACTTAACATTATCTGGCAGCAGTGACTCTACACATAACATTATCTGGCAACAATGACTTTACACTTAACATAATCTGGCATCAATGACTCTACACTTAATATTATCTGACAGCAAAGATTCTACACTAAACATTATCTGGCAGCACTGACTCTACACTTAACATTAACCCGCAGCAATGACTCTACACTTAACATTATCCCTCAGAACTGAATTTACACTTAGTATTATCTTTCAGCACTGACTCTACACTTAACATTATCTGGAAGCAATTACACTACACTTAACATTTTCCCTCACAACTGACTTTACACTTAGCATTAACCCTTAACACTGACAATACATTTAACATTATCCCTTAGCACTGACTCTACAAGTAACATTGTCCCTCAGCACTAAATCTACACTTAACATTAACCCTCACCAATGACTTTACACTTAACATTATTCCTCAGCACTAACTACACTTAACAATATTCCTCAGCACTGAACCTACAAGAAACATTATCCCTCAGCACTAACTCTACAATTAACATTATCCCTCGGCACTTACTCTACACTTAACATTATTCCCCAGCACTAACTCTACACTTAACATTAACCCTCAGCACCGACTCTACACGTAACATTATCCCTAAGTACTAACTCTACACTAAACATTATCCCTCAGCACTGTCTCTAGAAGTAACATTATCCCTCGGCACTAACTCTACGCTTAACATTATTCCTTAGCACTGAACCTACACTTAACATTATCCCTCAGCACTAACTCTACACTTAACATTATCCCTCAGCACTAACTCTACACTTAGCATTATTCCTCAGCACTAACTCTACACTTAACATTATCCCTCAGCACTAACTCTACACTTAACATTATCCCTCAGCACTAACTCTACACTTAACATTATCCCTCAGCACTAACTCTACACTTAACATTATCCCTCAGCACTAACTCTACACTTAACATTATCCCTCACACTAAATCTACACTTAACATTATCCCCCAGCACTAACTCTACACTTAACATTATCCCTCAGCACTAACTCTACACTTAACATTATCCCTCAGCACTAACTCATCACTTAACATTATCTCTCAGCACTAACATTCCTCAGCACTAACTCTATACGTAACATTATCCCTCAGCACAACTCTACATTAAACATTATTCCTCAGCACTAACTATACACTTAACATTATCCCTCAGCACTAACTCTACATTTAACATTATCCCTCAGCACTAACTATACATTTTACATTATCCCTCAGCACCAACACTACATTAAACATTATCTCTCAGCACTAACTCTACACTTAACAATATCCCTCAGCACTAACTCTACACTTAGCATTATCCCTCAGCACTAACTCTACACTTAACATTATTCCTCAGCACTAACTCTACACTTAACATTATCCCTCAGCACTAACTCTACACTTAACATTATCCCTCAGCACTAAGTCTACACTTAACATTATCCCTCAGCACTAACACTACACTTAACATTATCCCTCAGCACTAACTCTACACTTAACATTATCCCTCAGCACTAACTCTACACTTAACATTATTCCTCAGCACTAACTCTACACTTAACATTATTCCTCAGCACTAACTCTACACTTAACATTAATTCCTCAGCACTAACTCTACACTTAACAATATCCCTCAGCACTAACTCTACACTTAACATTATCCCTCAGCACTAACTCTACACTTAGCATTATCCCTCAGCACTAACTCTACACTTAACATTATTCCTCAGCACTAACTCTACACTTAACATTATCCCTCAGCACTAACTCTACACTTAACATTATTCCTCAGCACTAACTATACACTTAACATTATCCCTCAGCACTAACTCTACATTTAACATTATTCCTCAGTGCTAACTCTTCACTTAACATTATCCCTCAGCACTAACTCTACACTTAACATTATCCCTCAGCACTAAGTCTACACTTAACATTATCCCTCAGCACTAACACTACACTTAACATTATCCCTCAGCACTAACTCTACACTTAACATTATCCCTGAGCACTAACTCTACACTTAACATTATCCCTCAGCACTAACTATACACTTAACATTATCCCTCAGCACTAACTCTACACTTAACATTATTCCTCAGCACTAACTCTACATTTAACATTATTCCTCAGCACTAACTCTACACTTAACATTATTCCTCAGCACTAACTCTACATTTAACATTATTCCTCAGCACTAACTCTACACTTAACATTATCCCTCAGCACTAACTCTACACTTAATATTATCCCTCAGCACTAACTCTACACTTAACAATATCCCTCAGCACTAACTCTACACTTAACATTATCCCTCAGCACTAACTCTACACTTAACAATATCCCTCAGCACTAACTCTACACTTAACATTATCCCTCAGCACTAACTCTACACTTAACAATATCCCTCAGCACTAACTCTACACTTAACATTATTCCTCAGCACTAACTCTACACTTAACATTATTCCTCAGCACTAACTCTACACTTAACAATATCCCTCAGCACTAACTCTACACTTAATATTATCCCTCAGCACTAACTCTACACTTAACAATATCCCTCAGCACTAACTCTACACTTAACAATATCCCTCAGCACTAACTCTACACTTAACATTATCCCTCAGCACTAACTCTACACTTAACATTATCCCTCAGCACTAACTCTACACTTAACAATATCCCTCAGCACTAACTCTACACTTAACATTATTCCTCAGCACTAACTCTACACTTAACATTATCCCATAAGCTACATAATGCTACATAATGAGATCATAAAAAACATATGAGCATTCATTATGGTTGAAAATCTAGCATAACCTTTCCCGAAGATACCAGGTGATGATACATGTATACATGTGATACATGTATACATGTGATACATGCATACATGTGATGATACATGTATACGTGTGATGATACATGTGTACGTGTGATGATAAATGTATATATGTGATGATACATGTATGCATGTGATGCTACATGTAAACATGTGATGATGCATGTATACAGGTGATAATACATGTATTCATGTGAAGATACGTGTATAAAAGTGATATATGTATGCATGTGATGATACATGTATGCATGTGATGATACATGTATACATGTGATGATACATGCATACATGTGATGATACATGCATAAAGGTGATGATACATGTATGCAGGTGATGATACATGTGATTGATGTATACATTTAATGATACATGTTGTAATACATGTGATACATATGCATATGATACATATGTACATATCATGATACATATGATATATGTATACATGTGATGGTACATGTATAAAAGTGATAATACATATACATATGTGATGATACTTGTATAAAATGATGATACATGTGATAATACTTAAATGTGATGATGCATGTATACACATGATACATGTATACTTGTGATGACATGTATACAGGTGATACATATATACAGGCGATGATACATGTATACATGTGATGATACCTGTATACCTGTGATGACACATATATACATGTGATGGCATATGTATACATATGGTGATACATGTATACATTTGATGATACATGTATACAAGCGATGA